TGGTCTCTTCCTGTGTTTCCAGCTTGGTTCCTCTTTTTTGTTTGTGACTGTGCCACCGGGTAGTTGTCCTGTTCTTGCAAGTTTTATTTTATTAATCTTAATAAAGGCTTTTTCACCCGTTAACGTGCCATTTGGGTCCGCCTTCCCCTTAACTCACCCTTTAACACTCTCCAAATCACAAGACAGACGTATCCAGGTTCTCCATGAAGTACACCGGAAAAGAAAAATAAATGGCCATTTTTTTTTTTTTTTTTTTTTTTTTTTTTTAACAAAGAAATATAAAGTTAAACCCGTTGAGTGCTCAGTCAATACATACTATATATAATATCAGGTTAAGAAGGCACCTTCAAATAAAGATTGGTCTTTAAATACATTTAGTTTGATTTTGCTTTTGAATTGTTGTCTAAGCAAGGATCTTGAACTGGTATCTTCCTATACCTGTATTTAATGAACAGTCTGTATAATGCTGTTTGTAGGAGCTCCCACAGGTAAAGAGCCACTAACTAGTTACCATCACATGACCTTAGGTCAAGGGGTTCCCAAAGTGGGGGGTCACGAGATTACAAAAAAAATGAATTAAAAAAAAAAAAAAATTTTTTTAATAAAACAAAATTGAATTAAACTTTTTTATAATTTTTTAAAGATTATTAAAAAACTTGCATATACATCTTCAGGGGCGACTGAGCCATGCTGTATATATTTCCGCACGAGGCCTGTTCTCAAACTTTACAAACCATTTTACATTTTGGGGTCGCGGCTGAAAAGTTTCCGACCCCTGTCCAGGTTGACTTACATGGATCCTCTATAATTAGTGATAGCTAAATAATAAATAATTTATTCTTGCAAGATATATATGCGGACGGGAATTACATGTTCAGAATTTCAGAACATAGCTAACAAAAAACTATAAATGCATTCTCTCAGAGATTACAGAATGTGTATTATGATATACAAACAATCACCTGTAGAGTCAGACTCTTCTGCAGTGTTGAGTTTCAGCATGTCAACTACTTTCACAGATGCAGGAAGAAGATGGAATGGATACTCCAGATCGCTGTCCTTTCGATTATTACAAGACGAAATGCTGCCTGTATCTCAAGTACAGTTCAGATTTGGATGAGACAGGTACATAATCTTGGAAGCCTCACGTCAGCGTCTCGGAGTTTCCTGTCAAGGCACAGGTTACCCGCCTCTATTAATTACATTGCCAAATATCTGACTCAGCCGCGGACTGTTGTACTCTGACGTCAATGGCGTTTAGCCACCAGCGCCGTATAGAATAGAAGAGTTACCACAGCGGAAGTCCAAAAACGCGTTATCGTCACTGTGGTTCATGCAGGACGAGAATCGCTTCCCGAAGTTCATGCGGCAATGTGAAATGCATTGGATAACAGTGATGTATAGAACTTCGACTTTTGTAATTAATTAAGTGAATAAAGGTTTGATTTGCAAATTATACAACAAATCGATATGTTATGTATTACATCAATATTTTTAAAGAAAAAATAGTATTGTTGCACAAATATTAAGTGAAATATTAGATTAGTGTGAACGGCACTAGATTCACATGTTAGGCTAACAGTGCCTGTGTTAAAGAGCCTGTTGCTGTTTAGTCTATGCTTGAATTCTTTAAAACCAATATTATCTTCTTAAACTATGTATAGTCACGTCAGGAGCATCACTTTCTAATGTTTATTGATATAGTTTAGAGGGAGGGGATCTAAAGGAATGCTTAAAAATTCAGATTAGATTAATTTCTACCATTTTCTTAAATTCATGGTAGTTTCAGTAATCCCATGGTAATTGAGGACACAAGTTATCTAAATGACTAATGTCATCTTTATGGCTTTCAGAAAGGACAGGAGACCGACAGGTGACTATCAAAGGACTAGCAGCAGCAGCAGCAGCAGCAGCAGCAGCATGATGATGATGTTAAATGTGTTGTTTTAGGAACATCCATTGCAAATACATGGAATTCAATAAACATTGAATAGCATATCATGCAGTTTGTCTGTGCCTTTTCCTCCGTGTTGTCCTGGTTTGCTGTGCTGCCTCCTAGTCGCCACCATGGTTTGCTGTGCTCCTGGGGATGCTCAAATCGCTCCGAGAAAGGAGTACGAATGTACGGCTTCCCCACTGACACAGAGCGGAGGAAAAAATGGCTGGCTCAAGTCAGCAGGAGCAATTTCACGACCAACAGCAAAAAAATATGTGAGGTTATTATATACAAACACTGCATTTGCACTTTTTCACAAAACGAAAACCACACCATTGGGAAAGCTTAATGTTTTGTTTAATACAAAAAAACAGGGAAAGGCTTGAAAAACACTGAGAGTTGAGACTCAGGGTGCAGGGTGAGGGTCTCAGTGCAGGTATTCAGGCTCCATTGAATCCCCCTCTGGTTATTGTGCTGAAAGAGGGAGTAACAGACAGGAGAAAGGGTTATACACACCTATATAGCACACCTATTGGATGGGAAATTGCCTTGGGGAGATAAGGTGTGGTCTTTGTTCCCAACTGAAGTTATGGAACTTTATTATTTGTGAGTTTAACAAAGTATGACAAATGGCATCATACATCTTTAGAAAATATGAAATAAAAAATTGAAGTGAAATCAACCTCTTCTCTGGAGAACAAACTTTGATTTCTCTGTCTTGTGAGTTTGCAGTCTTGCTCCTCCACCTGTAACATCACTGCCCCTCCACCTGCCATACAGTAGGTTACTAACACGATTACTTATATAATACAGTGATAGAATACATGTTTAGTATGCTTACTTATATAAAACAGTAGTATTAAACTTACCTTGTGTTTTCACTCTCACTTAAGTCCCTCTCCCTTTGCCATCAATCCAAAATCAGCTGAGCTGCAACATTATAAAGACAGGTAATAATCAACATAATCACAAGGACACAATATGGCTCTGCTAAAAACACTCACTCTTACACGCACCAAAGTTATATTTATCTAATATTTAACTCCCTCCACCCCCGCATACAATCCCGTTTAGAAGCCCCTCTTCTCTAATTCAACAACGTTGGACGAAATGACATTAAGAGAATGGAATTTACAATTAAAAGGCTGTTCAACGTGTGTTGCTAACTTGATCCGTTATCCTAGCTTTATCTGTTATCTGTAAACGTTCCCTAAATCTACTAATTTAGGGATAATCCACTGACATCCTTTAATACACATGTTAATTTGAATCAGATGTACTGATAATATCCGCAATATAAATCTTTAAACTTCTTCTTACTTTTAAAAGTCCGTCACGAACGGTCTATTATGCTGCAACTCTACGGCTCTGCTAGCCTTGGCGCTGACTTCCGGGGAACGATTGAGAGGCTCCACGCAATTGGTAGATAGGTTATATTTATATTTACACAATAATGGTGCACTGATAGACAGGGACTTGTAGTTTTTAAAGATATTACTGATTATCTAAAAATTAGATTTATTTGTTGTTATTTTCGTTATTTTATTAGGGAAGGACACACCTGAAGGACACTGCTGTGCCTACCATCTTTTCTTTCTCCAAGGGGAAAGAAGAACAGCCCAGGATAAAACACTTGGTGAGTATCAATAAAAAGGTAGGTGGCACTTCTAGTGTAATTATCAATGAGGAGATTGCACATGTAAACACACCTGAACAGGCCGGTGTTGCGCGAGATGTCGAACATAATGAAATGCTGACAGTGAATGTCTGTGACGATGTTGATTTGGGTAGCAGCAGACAACAAACAGACTCAGCCTGTGTTCACTCTAACTCCATAACAACACAGCTGCCTAGCAGCTCTCTGAATGATCACAGCTACATTATTTCTGAGTCTCCAAGAACACTCAAAAGAAAAAATATGAACGTGAGCGTAAAGCTATGTATCGATCGCAAAAAACTGAGGTTGAAAGGCTAGCAGACAAGGAGACTGAAGGCACAAGTTTCTTCCTTGGCAAGTGTTGTAAAAGTACTTCAGAAGAAACTCCTTATTTCAACTGACTGTGCCTCTCTTCTTGATGGTCTTGATGAGGTTCCCCGAGAGGTCTTTGAGAGAATACAAAAAAAGAAGAAGTCAGTGTTTTCTGAAAATATGAAGCAATTTGCCACATTGCACTTCTACTCTCCAAAGGCCTATGACTATGTCAGAGAGAAGTTTCACTTGTCTTTGCCTCATCCTCACACCATTCGAAAATTGTACAGTAGCATCTTATCTAACCCTTCTGCAATAGTTTTTAGCATTGTGTGCAGACTTTGTGGTGTGTGTTTGTCTCATTTTTATTTATTTTTTGTCCATGTCTTGTGTCCATGCTTTTTAGTTAGGAAGAGCAGCCATGTTAACAGTGTTATGGCTACAGATGTAATATCTAACTCAACATTTGCCATGACAGTCTGGGCTTAGCAAGGGCCTTAGAATACATACTCTAAAGGCCAAATCCAAAAACAGTGATACTGACATTTTAGCAGTTCACAGTTTTTGGAGATGGTCTTTCAGGCAATTGGCTAGTGACTTTAAAAAAATATCATTTCCCCTAGGGGTGAAATCTCCAGCGCAGTCCACCCCAACCGAACCAGCAGACGCGCAGGTCGAGGCAAAGGTTGCTGCCGATGATCTCTGTAGCTCTCATGGCTGCATGCCGGACACAGCTGTCTCCAACTATCCATACAGTCACTATTGTAGGAAAATAAATGAGAGTAACAAATGCTTTAGATAATGAGGAATATCAAATTAAGTATAAAGGGTTGCTCATTTTGTTCCTTTGACAATAACATACAACATATAATGTGTATATATATATATATATATACTGTGTGCTGTTTATCTCCAATTATGCACATAATGTATATAGATATATACATATATGTATATAGATATATATATCTATATACATATATGTATAGTATGTTTGTGTGTAATGTCAACCATCTGAAGTCATGTAAAGTAAGACAGGACCATCAACTTACAGGTTGTGGAGGAGGTTGCCATCTTTTTTTCTTAATGCTGAAAGAAATAAAAATTGTTTAATCAATATAAAAGCGCCTTTCTTTTTCTACAGTCATATTTAATTTATACTCTCACAGCGCTGTTGAAACAGTAACGTTGGATTAAATGTATATAACAATTGATGGTCAACAAGTATAAATATGCACATTTTGCATTTGTTAGCCCATGCAGTATTACACTGTTTATATTTGAATCATGGAGAAGCGTTTTTAAACTTGTATAGTGTAATATCAAGAACAGTTAAATCATAGGGGAAAGCTTTGTTTAATTCACAATACGCTAATTCCTTATACTGTATAGGCCACAGTCTATATCAGGCTAATTCACGCAACACTGGCCATATCTCTGCTAGTTTACAAAGTTTAGTTACAAATGACATTTATATTTGAAAAACGGTGAAGCACTTAAAAAACAATTGTATAGTGTAGGTTCAAGAACATTTAAATCAAAAGGACACGTTTTGTAAAGTTACAGGGTATTTTACCTTCAGAATATGCCTGGAACGAGTAGCAGTGACCGCAAGCTGGGTTGTTAGCTTAATACTGGGAGCATGGTAGCTTAGCTTCTTAGCCTGAGCTAGGTCTGGCTCCGCCTCTTTGCCCTTATTTGGATCAGGCTTTAGCTGGCGGGAGTTAGACTCTGACGTCACTGTCGAGCCGTTAGTAGCCGGCTTCTCGACAACTCTGCAGAATCCAATGGGTGACGTCACCAGGCCCGGTTCCAGAACAAAATGACTCAGGGTGCATCTGAGATTAGAGAGGGTGCAGTAGTAAAGTGCTATTTTTATAAGTGGGGAGTGGACCTAACACCCTCTAGGGGGGTCCTCACCTCCTCTAGGAGGGTCCTCACCTTCTCTAGGGGGGTCCGGGGGTATGCTACCCCGGGAAGATTTTTAAATATTTAAGTTAAAAGCATCAATCTGGTGCACTTTGAGAGCAAAATGAAGAGATCTTGGATACATCTCAACACCCATATGAAACAGCACTGTAAACAGATTTACTTTTTCTTTATGGATATTTTACAAATCAGTCCCCTTTTAAGACTGAAATGTCTACATGCATAGCAGAAGATGGCATATTTTTTACATGAATATTCCAGCCAATCTCTGTTTTGAAACCATGAGCTGCAAAATGAGCGCCTTACCCCACTGTACAGGCGAGTTGGGTACTTTTTTAAAATATACCTGGGCAGGTTCTGTTTTGCCGAGGTCCTCTGGCACTTGCGGGCCGCCGAGGGGTGGCGGTGTTTGGGGCAACGAAGACGGTCGCGGCTGCTCCGCGTCCGTGGGCGAGGCGGGGCAAAGCCGGCGAGTCGGGCGGGGGGACGTTAGTGTCCACGACAGTGGCCGCGGGCAACGTAATGTCCCCATGATCTGAACTGTTATTACCTGCAGTAGATGCAGTGTTACTGCTGGCGATAAGGGCTGGTTGTTTGAACCATTTTCTGATGTCCATCATTGACTGCTGTGTAAGCACCTTGCAGATGACGAACGCGTAGCGGCACAGGTCACGCACACCTGACCTAATAACATTACTTACCGTTTAAATTGACCAAATAAATGCAGTAGACAATGTTATTTAACCACAATTACAATTTATTTTATTTCATATATATATTTCTTCTTATTATTATTATAATTACTACTATTATTATTATTATTATTATTATTGTTATTATATATGAAATATTTTTCACTTTTTTTTTTCAAATGAGGGTGCATAACAACTCACCTGAGGGTGCACCCTTATGCACCGCCGTAGAACCGGGCCTGGGCTAACGGTTTGTGTCGCTATCAGTCCGCGCGTCAATCAACGGTAAGTTTTGCCCGTTACTTTCCCAGTATTACTTTGAATATTATTATTGTGATTGAGGATTAAATCCGCTTTGAAGACCACCGTTTTATATCGTGCAATTTAGCGGCAAAATAACGTCAGTTAGCCAGCTAACGCTAGCTTTGTTGAGTTTATGCTAGCTAAACAAGTAGTGGTTGTAGTCTACAGCAGTAATTAATATATTATAGCCTACTGCTTTGGGACTAACGGTTGATAACCGTTTATGAAAATAAAACCAATTGAACTGTACTGAAATAATGACAAGTTTTATAATTGTCTTGGGCTCCTGCTGTGTTTTTAAAGCCTTTGTAAATTATCCATGCTATTTTCTATTTAGCTAACGTCAAAGTAGTGTATGTGAAATCAACCTCACAAGATGTGTGTATATTACAATTATTAATGTCATATTTCAAGATGATTACTTAGATATTACAATATGGTTGGTTGAGCTGGAGTTCA